AGAGAGAGAGAGAGAGAGAAAGAATCATTAATATTTTCATTCAAAACGGAAATATAGCTGTATGTATATAGCTAAAGAAACAAGACACAAAAATAGAAATCAAATAAATAAGCATATGTATTGACAGAGTATAGCTGTATTCGTGATTTCGATATTATATCTGGTATTTGTCAAGAAATTTATATCTGCAAATATATGCTGTTAAAGCAATTTATCGATGATAAATCGATGGAGCGTTTGTCATTCCTCGATTTATTCTCGTGGATTCGTGTTATCGCAAGTGTCAGCGAAAGAATTGCACAAACAACGTTCTGATTTAATATGATTTAATGTTAAATGTTATGCTTATCGTGCATTTGACTTATCTCCATAAAAAAAGCGTCATTAACAGCAGAGATTCATTTTTTCGGATGTTTATTGTTCTACATGGAGTATTCTTAATCGCACGCGAAGCGGACGTATCAAAGATTTTTTCTTCCGGTGACTGATATTTGCTTGCTAACATTTTTATCAACGTTGAAATGGTTGCATGTCAGATAATGATTCGCGAAACCCGCGATTTTGCTTTTTATATTATTTACTTTAAACTTATTTACTTATTTACTTTAAATAAGTATAATAAACAACATATATGCAGATTGGAAATAATAAGAACAGAAATTGATATCTGTGCGAGATATATTTTGATAAAAAATTGTTTCTACCGATAAATCGTACTTCTCGTTCTATCGCGTTTTGATACAATCGAATTTGATTTAATAATAAAATTGGCTAACAAATGTGTGACCTAAATGTGATATTTTATCACATTTTATTACGCGCGATTATCAGTGAAACTTTATATGATACTTGAATTTTTTAAATATTTTACTTGCAAATTGTCTATTTTTATTACTTCATTTTTTTATTACAAATATATAACCTTTCGTGTCCTCATTTGCATTTCCATTGACATTCCTTTCTATATTTATGTTGCTATAAAATAATTGAAGAGTCACACAAAGTTCATTTAAACACAACGCGAAACATCTCGTAAGAAGCATTCCCACGAGTTTCAACCGTCCGAAATATATTGTAAAGAGAGTCAGTTCTGTTTACTCCATTAAATCTCATGCGTCTTGAATTGAAACTACGCACCAAGCTGGCTTCAATGTGAAATCATATACGTATTAAATTACGTTACATAATATTATCGGCGATCGTAAAGCGTTAGGAAACTTGAGATCGCCCAATTCGCATGCGACGCTGATCCACAAATTGCGGATATTAAAATAATGCGTAAAAATCTCTTCCTAGTATTAAACCTAGTATTAACCACATGACGAAGAGGTTTTATGCTTTCCTGATGCGTAACGTTACGAATGTCCTCGAAAGTGCTTTGGAACGATTGGAAAGAAAATCGATCTGTCACAAGAATATTTTCATCTTATAAGTATTCTTTCGACAGTTAATATTTATATCCTTTTAACATATTAACGTTTTTAATAAACGATTAAATTTTATCATGACCAGATCCAAATGAAATTCTATCGCGAATTTCGCGTTTGACGAATCTATTTGACCCATTATAGAGATTTTTCAGCTGTAAGCGTGAGCAAACAATCGGGATCGGAAATGAATGAATCGGTTGGATACGACGACGTGTATTCGGAGCGTGTATTCCGCGCGAATCCTTCCTGCGATAAATACCCAGGTATGGCGATAAATAAGAACGCCCGTAGTAGATACCCGTATATCACACTCGAGCACATTGTACGTCAGATGTCAGAGAGACGAATTTGATTCGCCGACGCGGTGGAGCTCCGCCATTTGTATCGGCTCGTGTAAATATTGTACAAGAGCTGAGTGAGAGCCGAGCGAGCCGCCGCCGTGGTGTTCGAGAGCGACGGGAATTCAGGTCAGTCGGTTCCCGAATTTTGCCGATGGTTAGGCACGAGGGAACCGACCGTACGACCGTAGCTGCCTACAGGGTACAACTGAGAAAGGATAATCCACCGTTCTCGAGAGGGCTCCCTATGAAAAAGCTGTTTTGATCGGTTCGGGTTTCTAGGACGGTGACCGTGAATGAGGCTTTAAGCCAGCACATACGACGCTCCGCGTCATGGGGAAGAGCGGAACCAGAGAGGGCGAGGTGCAGGCAGACGAGTTTTCGGATATATAAAGACGAGTCCGGATGTACAAAGAACCAGATGTGTCACTGAAAAGAATCACGTAGCCCGGCCCCGTTCGCGCATTAAGAAGTACCCGGGGCGCGCTATTAAAAATCCGCCCTTCGAGAGTGAATTGGAAAAAGTGGGACGCTCGCGAGAAAAAAATCGAGACAATTCCGCGAAAGAAAATTGCTTAGCTCTTTTAATCGTCGGTCTCTTCGCGACCGCGGGAGATTTTATTATTTGCACGGTTGCGTTCGCGTGACACGATACCTCGCATTTTCTATATCGCCGTGTCGCAAACTCGAGCGATAAAACACGATTGCAATGTTTGTACTTCGGTCTCGTTGCAACCGATAAATGTTGCTAGTCGTAGACGATGCGCGGGAAACTAGAATAGACATATGGGATATAATATATCCTAAATGTCGTGACATATCGCAATTAGGCGAGTGCGCATATTGTTTGCCATGTTTGGCAAACGGAAATTCACGATATTCACGCGCGCGATAATCTCGGTCACAGACTTCAAAAGGCTTTAAAATTCTCACGAGCGTCAAAATTAGACGGAGAAGATGGAAGAAGAACGGAGCCCGGTTCCTATTATCGAATTCACGGTATTGCATTAACATTTATTCTCATCAGAAACGCAATAAAGCGCGTAATCCAAGTCGTCATTGTTACGC